CTGGAAAACAATGCTACAGACATTTATCAGTAAAGAAGTGAGCACCAGGATTTTAAGGCAGGAAGGAATAGGCTCATTTTACTGTTTTGTGCAAATGCAGTCAGGTTTATGATCAGGAATGCCCTTATTTATAAAGCTGCTAATCCCTGAGCCTTGAAGGGAAGAGATAAACACCAGCTGCCGGTCTTTCCATTGTACAACATGAAGGCCCAGACAATGAGAACATTTTTTTATGGATTGGTTCCACTGGTGCTTTGAAGTCAGGAAGTACCTTGCCAGCAAGGGACTGCCTTTCAAAGTTTTTTTTTTTGATATTGGGCAATGCTGCTGGCCAACCAGAACCCCATGAATTCAACACAGAAGGCACTGAAATAAACTACTTGCCCCCATATACAACATCTGTAATACAGCCTCTAGATCAAGGGGTCATAAGGACCTTTTAGGCTCATTACATGTGGTATTCTACAGAAAGGATTGTCCACACTGTGGAAGAGAAGACCAATGGAGGGAACATCATTCAAGTTTAGAGTGATTACATTGTTGAAGATGCTATCATTGTTATAGAAAAACCCATGAAAGTCATCAAGCCTGAAACAATAAACTCCTGCTGGAGAAAAGTGTGTTCAGATGTTGTACAAAACTGCACAGAATTTACAACAGAACTAATCAAAAAAATCACAAAATAGATCTGGGATATGGTAAAAATATGGGGGGTGCAGGTTGAAGATATCAAGATATGAGTCTTGGAGAAATTCAAGAGCTAGCAGACTGCACCATAGGAATTAGCAGATGACATGATGGAGATGACTGCTTCTGAACCCATGTCAAACGAGGAAGAAGGAGACATAGAAGAAGCAGAGCCAGAAAACAAATTGACGTTAGACAATTGGCAGAAGGGTTCTGATTATTCAAGACTGGTTTTAACCTCTTTTATGAGATGAACTTTTCTATGATACGAGCACTGAAACAAAAGTAAATGGTGGAAGAAGGGTTAGTATTGTATAGAAATATTTTTAGATAAATGAAAAAGCAAAAAAGTCAGACAGACATTTCTATGTGTTTCTTTAAAGCTACACCAAGTATGCCTGCCTCTCTGCTCCCGTTTCACTTCCTCCACCTCTTTTGCTTTTGCCATCCCTGAGACAGCAAGACCAACCCCTCCTCTTCCTCCTCCTCCTTAGTTTGCTCAACATGAAGATGGCAAGAATGAAGACGTTTATTATGATCCACTTCCACTTAATGAATAGTAAATATATTTTCTCTTCCTTACGATTTTCATAGTTACATTGTCTTTTCTCCAGCTTACTTCATTATAAAATATAGTATATATATAATGTATATATATATATATCTCACATAAAATATGTGTTAATTGATTGATCATGTTATCAATATGGCTTCAGGTGAACTGTAGGCTATTAGCAGTTTAATTTTGGAGGAGTCTAATGTTATACACAGGTTTTTAACTTCGTTGGGGGCGGTCAGTGCACCTAACATTACCCTGCATTGTTCAACTGTAAATCTTTCACTGTCAACTGTAAATCAATTCTATATGGCGGCGGCACTGTTCTATACTTAGCATAAAGCAAGCTGCGATACATATATGTTGACTTAATAATAAAGAATGAATGCTTCCTATTATGTGACTATCTCACATTTTTCTTTGAGCTGATCTCTAGTTATTCTAGCCCTCCCAATAAATTGCCTGTAGTCCAGATCATATCTGTTTCTGTTGAGATTGTCAAATCATTCAGCCATTCTTACGATAAAACTGCTGACCCTTATATCACACATTCTAATTTCAGCCACTGCAACTAGACAAAAAAATATAAGGAAAAGGAAATCATTCTTTTAATAAATTCCTTTTTTCGAGCAAAGCAATCTGAATTATGGCAGTAAAATCTGCAGTCTTACTGAACCTGTGGACACATTTCCAACAGTATAAAGAAAATGAGAACTCCATAGGTCAGATCTTTACTATGAGTCACTCACAGTAAACAGTACTCAAGGCACCAGGAAGTATCCCTTCAACAAGAGTGTAGCTGTCATGACAACACTGGCATGGACCATTTATTTATTTATTTACTTTTATTTTTATTGAACAGTGTTTTCCTCCTTTCTGACTCTCATTACTTTTCTTAGAGTAGCACGTACCTTTGGTGTGAGTGAGGGAAAAAACCTCTCTCTGGTACTTTCCACCTGCTGTGGGATGCATTGCTCATCCAAGTTCCCTGGGCAGAAGACACGGTTGACAGGAACGCCTTAGTTTTATTTAACTTCCGTAGTGTCCAGAATGTGGTTGGTTCTTTGGTCTCTCACCTTCAGTGTGAAATCTTTAAATCCTAACACATGATTTTAGAAACATGAGGAATGATGCTATTATTACTTCTAGAAAGGGTTCGATGCATTAAATATTAGGATGAAGTTTTATTGAGCGTTCACAGACACACTAATGACAGAATAGAACATTCCACTCATCCCAGAGAAAGAATTCCTTGTTGTATAGTTGGGTGCAAGTATAACATGAACTACACCTCGAGAGCATTCCGAAGTCAGAGCTTCCATCACAGTGAGCTCTAACCCTGTGTTCAGGAATCCTGCAAACTCTACCTCAACTTGAGCAGTCTGTGTCGACAGCCTCTTGATCACAGCACCCTGCTGTGCCTAATCACGAAGGCCCCTTTCACAGAAAGAGTTTCTTCCCTCCTATCAGGGTGTGACTTGAAGGTAGCCTTCCCATTTGGGCAAGGCCATCACACTATTGCCACCATTAACATCCCTGAAGAGACCTGTTGGTTGACCTCAACCATGTTTCATTCATTTTAATAGATGTTATCACTTAGCCACTTCCATTTCAAGAGTTTGAGCTTTGAAGTGTTAACACTTTGAACTTTTAAGTGTTATATTTATTGATATGACATTATTTTTGTCACTAGGACATTTAGAGACTAAATGTTTTCATTTAGTCACTTCCATTTTATGAGTTTTAACTGTTATCGTTAACTGTTAGATAGTGACACTCTTTTGTCACTAGGATAGGACTTCTTGTGGGACATTAGGTGAGTGACTTAACTACTTGGACCTTGGTCTCCCTTTCTGCAAATTGCAAACAATTGGCCTATTCAATCTCCTTGGTCTATTCCAGTGCTAAATGTTTTTTAATTAAAACTAAAGTAGATAAATTAGGCATTTTCACATTTTCTTTTCTTTCTTTTCTTTTGTTAGTCCTATAGAAATTTGTGGGAGAATAGAGGAGGATATTAACTTTCCTGTTTGATGCCCAGGTGATTTCTGTGCTCAGATAGGGTTTGAGAATTCACTTGCACAAAGGGGACGGGTAGTTTCCCCTGGCCAGCCAGCCTACAAGCCAGCTGCTAAAGATACCAGCCTGCTGCTTCCTCTAATTTAGAAAGTAAGATTAACGTCCTGGGCACCTTCTGGTAGTCTACACTGAATGTTGTTCTGTGCTTTATAGATGACAGGCAGAGTGATGTTTTAAAAGGTAATTTTTTTCTTGTCAGTCTCATGTCTCTCATGCTTCCCACATTTCTCTTGCTTTATTACTCATTTCCTTCCTTCCTTCCTTCCTTCCTTCCTTCCTTCCTTCCTTCCTTCCTTCCTTCCTTCCTCTCTCCCTCCCTCCCTCTCTCTCTTCCTCCCTCCCTCCCTCTCTCCCTTTCTCTTTCTTTCTTTATCATTTTCCCTTTCTTTCTTTCTTTCTTTCTTTCTTTCTTTCTTTCTTTCTTTCTTTCTTTCTTTCTTTCTTTCTTT